CTCATCCCAAAACACTTAGAGTCATAGTCTTGAATCAACGAGTGGTTTTTGGTGTGATCGTATCGATAGATCAATGATCTTGTTTCACGGCAATTCTCCATCTCGGAACGTGAGATAGTGAGACAAGATCCTTGCGGTCATATTTGATTCAATCCTCACAAAGGTATGATTGTCATTTTATTCCATTGTCTATAAACATATATAATGCATGTATCTCTCGTTGTGGTTTACATTTAATTTGGAATTAAAGGGATATGTTAAAATTTTTTGAAATTCCGCCTACAAGTTTTGTTGTTGTTCAAATGATTTTTCATTAAAAATCACAACTAGATCCTACAATATTCTCAAGGGAAATGTATAGATCCAGTTTCAAATCAACAAATGGGGTTCAAAGAATCAAAAACCCCCAATTTTTATCAAGGTTTCACCAAATCCCATTCAGATTCCACTCGAAAACAAAAATTTAAACCAAAAATCACCAAACTCGACTAAAATGAGTTCCACAAAGCTAAATCTGAAAATCTAAAGTAAGTTTCAAAGAGTTTTACCTCGATCCAAGCTTTGATGTTGAAAACCTCTTGGAAATCTCCGTTTTGAAAACCTCTTGGAAATCTCCGTTTTTGGTTTAAATTCGGCCCTTGAGAAAGAAAACTTTGAGAAAGAGAGAGAGAGAGAGATAGAGAGAGAGTGTGAGGGAGAGAGCTCGGGAGATTGAGATAGGGAGAGAGGGAGTAACGTGAGGAGGGGAAAGAGAAAAGAAATAAGGAAAGAGGAAAAGGAGAAATAGAAGGAAAAGAAAATTGGGAAAAATATTAAGGAAAAATAAATAGAGGTGAAATTACAACTCTAAGGGTCTACGCCTCCTGTCAGCATAACTCTTCTGACGACACTGAGCCGTTATCAGTCGTTCCCGGATCACGGCTATCTTTTCATTATTCTCCTGGATAACATCCGGTCCAAGGGTCAGTCGATCTTCTGACCCAAGCCAATAAACTGGCGATCTACAAGGTCTGCCATACAACGCCTTGAATGGGGCCATCCCAATGCTACTCTGATAACTGTTGTTGTAGGTGAACTTAGCTAAATGAAGATACTTCTTTTAGTTTCCACCGAAATCTAGAATGCAAGCACGAAGCATGTCTTCCAAAATCTGAATAACTCTCTTAGATTGTCTGTCGATCTGAGGATGAAATGCGGTGCTGAAATTCAGTTCGATTCCCATGGCTTCTTGGAAACTTCTCCAATATCTAGCGTTGAAACGAGTGTCACGATCCGATGTGATAGACAACAAAACTCCGTGAAGTCTGACAACATGCTCCAGATACAACTCTGCTAGAACTTTCCTGGAATATGTCGCATGAAAGGGAATGAAGTGTGCGGACTTTGTTAACCTACCCACAACGACCCATATGGTATCAAGCCGATGTCCAATCCTCAGCAATCCGATCAGAAAATCCATCGTAATGTGTTCCCACTTCCATCCAGGAATAGGAAGAGGCTGCAATTCTCTAGTAGGTTTCCGATATTCAGCCTTGACTCGAAGACAAGTCGCACATTCTGACACGTATTGGTGAACATCCTTCTTCATACCTCTCCACCAATACTGCCTTTTGAGGTCTTGATACATCTTGGTACTCCCAGGGTGAATAGCAAACCTCGATTTATGAGCCTCGTGAAGGATTGTCTTCTTTATCTCATCCACTTGAGGTACAATAAGGTGATTCCTGAAGTAGAGCGTTCTATCTTCCTGAATATTCCATTCGTCTAGTTTTTCTCCATTCTGAACTCGGGTCCAAATTCCCTGAAGATGCGAATCCTGCCATTGGTTCTGCTTGACTTACTGTATAAGAGTTGGTGTTGAAACCAAGTTGTACACCATAGCTTTGTTAGAATCCTCATAATACTGAAGATCATAGTCACCTACAATTGCACTCTGTTTCCAATCTTCCAATGCCAAAGATGCTAGGATTCCTAGAGTCTTTCTGCTGAGAGCGTCTGCTACCACGTTGGCTTTTCCAGGATGATACTGCAAGGTGAAGTCATAATCCTCCATGTATTCCATCCATCTTCTCTGTCTCAGATTTAAGTCCTTCTGAGTGAACAGATACTTCAGACTCTTATGATCGGAGTATATCTAGAATTTTACTCCATAGAGGTAGCATTTTCATATCTTGAGAGCAAAAATCACAGCTGCTAACTCTAGATCATGCGTGGGGTAGTTCTGCTCATGTGGCTTCAGTTGACGAGATGCATAGGCCACAACATGTCCATTTTGCATCAGAGCACACCCAAGTCCTTGTCTTGATGCATCGGAATACACCTCGTACAGCTCATCGCTATTAGGAATCATCAGAATTGGCACATTGGTTAGCCTAGTCCTCAGTTCTTGGAATGCATGTTCACAATCGACATCCTATTCAAACCTGACTTCCTTTTTAGTCAACCGAGTCATTGGAGCAGCAATACTCGAAAAATCCTTTACAAATCATCGATAATACCCCGCAAGTCCTAGGAAGCTTCGAATTTTGGCTACGTTTTTCGGTCGTTCCCATTGTAGCACCGTTTCAATCTTTGAGGGATCCACTGAAATTCCTTGTCCAGATATAACATGTCCAAGGAACTTGACTTCGGTCAACCAGAAATCACATTTCTCCTTCTTTACATAAAGCTGGTGTTCTCGAAGAGTCTGGAGAACGATCCTTAAATGTTGCTCATGCTCTTCCCAAGTCTTTGAATAAACCAGGATTCCGAAGTCTTTGAATAAACCAGGATGTCATCAATGAAGACTATCACAAGCTGGTCTAAATACGGGTGGAAGACTCGATTCATCAAGTCCATAAAAGTGGCAGGGGCATTCGTCAATCCAAAAGGCATTACTAAGAACTCATAATGCCCATAGCAAGTTCTGAAAGCTATTTTTGGAATATCATATTCCCTAATCTTCAACTGATGATACCCAGATCTCAAGTCAATTTTTGAGTAGTACCGTGATCCTCCCAGTTGATCGAACAACTTATCGATCCTCGACAATGGGTACTTGTTCTTCACGGTAACCCTATTCAATTGTCGATAGTCTATGCACAACCGAAGGGATCCGTCATGCTTTTTCGTAAACAAGATAGGTGCACCCCACGGGGAAGTACTGTTTCTATTGAATCCCTTTTCTGCCAACTCTTCGAGCTATTTCCTTAGCTCTTTCATCTCCGCAGGTGCCATTCGATACAGAGCAATAGAAATCAGAGCCGTTTCTGGAAGTAAGTCGATGCAAAACTCGATCTCTCGGTCAGGCGGTAAGCCAGGCAACTCATCAGGGAATACATCCGCATATTCATTGACCCCGGGACCTCAACATTCTCCCCGGCGATACCGGATTCACCCTCTAATGCCGAAAGGAATGAGAAACAAGCTAAATTCTACCGTCCTCTGACACTATGCCTCAGTAGTCGTTCTTCTGTAACTGGGTTAACACCTCCCTGATACGTTACTATCGTGCCAGAACCGGTAGTCAAGGTAACTCTCATACGGTGGTAATCAACAATCACCCTATATCTTGACAACCAATCTATTCGAAGCACTACATCAAACTGATTCATGGGAAGGATTATCAAATCTGCCCTTAATTTCTCACTTCCAATCATGATCACACACGACCTACATATACTAGTCACCTCCACACATCCCAATGGAGAACTTATAAACATTGAAGTCTCTAAGTCATCGGGTTTCAAACCCAAAATTTTCACAAAAGAAGTGGAAACAAAAGAGTGCGTAGCACCAGTGTCGAACAAAACTCGTGCAAAAGAGTGAGAGATAGGTACCATACCCTCAACGACTGGGTTTCCAGGTTGAGCTCCAGAACTTCCCCCGGCCATGGTATGCATCTGCCCCGGTGCTTTCCCTTTTCCTCTCTCGTTGTTGTTAGGTTTCTGGTTTCCAGGCCTGTACTGTTGTTGCGGTGGGGTAGACTATACTGATACGAAAGCCTGTGGCCTGAAATAAGAGTAGTTCAGCGGACAAAAGATCGATGCAGGAGGAATTAGCATCTGTGCAGGCAACTGGGGCTAATAGTAAGGCGTGAACTGTGGTGATTGCTAGGTCTGTTGGTTCACCTGTTGGCCCCTGATAGGACAGTTTCTCCTGATATGCCCTAGCTCCCCACAGTGGTGGCACTTGAAGCTATAGGGTCCACTCTTCCCACTTCCTGAAGAGCCACTGCTACCACTAGGCACTCCCCCACTACCTTGCCCCTGATCACGGCTTTTTTCGGTTACTCCTTTGGGGTCCTCCTGAGGTTCTTCCTGAAGCTTCTCGATCCTGGAAAAAGGCGATGTGCTCTTGTTCAACAGAGATGGCTACTGCAACCAAGTCACTATAGACTCGATGCCTTAAAGCTACCACTGATTTTCAGATCACACCCTTAAGACCTTTCTCGAACTTTAGGCACTTCATGCGCTCCGATTCAATCACGGAAGGAGCAAAACAGGATAGCTCATTGAACCTAGCTTCGTATTCCCTCACTGTCATATCCCCTTGCTGTAGGCCCATGAATTCTATGGCCTTTTCATCTCGATAACTTTGGGGAAGGAATTGCTCATTAAAGAGCGCTTCGAATTGTTCCCAAGTCAACCCCTCTACATCATGTATTCGCCAGATATGCTTCCACCACGCACCTGCAGGACCTTTAAACTTAAAAGCTGCGAACTCCACCCAATACTCATCCGGTACTCCCATGGTACTAATATGCTTAGACACCGATTCGAACCAATACTCAGCTTCCTGGGGTCCACCCACGCTAGTGAATGCAGGAATTGAACTACGCTAGTACTCACGAAAATAGTTCTGTTTTCTATCCTCCGCAGGACGTTCATTTTGGGCTCTAGTAGCCATCCCCTGGAAGGCGGCATACATGGCTTCCATGAATTACTCATTTGGCATCGCCGGTGGGTTAGGGTTTCTACGGTGCGGCGGCATTCTTTTATATGAAAAGAAAGCTAGACTGTTTTAGTGGTTTCCTGATGTCATTCATGTATGCATAATTCCAAACCCTAAGATTCTAAACCAAGGGCGCTCTGATACCAAGTCTTGTCACGCCCCCAAACTGGGGTTAGTGACGTGGAGGCTCATTTAGAAACTTAAACCTGTTTGAGAGAGTGATTAGCAAATACTTTAATTTCTTTCAAATCCAAAACATCCGGGTATTTCCAAACGAGTCCCTTATTTTTTTTAAGAGGAATTCAATTTCAAGAATGGTGGTGGAATTTCCAACCAAACCAGTTTAAAGTCCCTGGTATCATGTCAGAAATTCCCACAGGTGTTTAGCATACATGAATATAAACAAAAGTAAATGTGACATCAACCACAGTCTAGTAATATTTAAGTTTACAATCCATAATCTTTTATACATGCCTTAAAATAAAAGATAAGAGGAAAGACAACTTTTCACTTTCCGAGGTCAAGTCCACGTCACCGGTAGTAGCTACCTACTTCGCACTACTCCTCGCGTCGCCTGGAGGGGGTTTAATACATTTGAAAACAAGAAAGGTGAGCGAAAGGCTCAGTAGGATATAATTTTATAAAGCATTTAAAATAAAGGTACTCACGGTCTGAAGATATACCCCCAGAACCGGTCATCCCTTTTTAGAAAAAGAAATACTCACATAGTAGAAAATATATGTATAATGAAAGGTAAGAATGTCTGTCTAGAGAAAAGTGCAGAGCCATTGTTCCACTAAACAAGAAGTGGATCCGTAAAAACCCCCAAGGATGCGATTCCCACATCCCGATCTTTGTGGCCACCATGCGTTATATCATTCCTTAAAATATTTAATTTTAGGAAATGATACTCTTTAAAATCTCATTTCCAAAATCATTGGAAAACTTAATAGCATTCTCATGCTATTTCCTTAAAATCATTTTCTTTAAAAATGTTTTGTTCTAAAATATTTTCATTGGCTAAAACCATTTAAAGTAAGGCTAACAAGGATATGGACAAGAATATCCTACCTGTTGGATATCAAACCTGTGGCTGTCTTCACATAGCCCTAGCTCTGCTTGCCTTTGAGGCTTCAATTCCCAATCGTGCCACTAACTTTCCCATCAAAATCAACAATTTAGAGTTTGACCTTTCTCATCAAACATTCTCGTTTAATTAGATGCAATTGTATCATATTAGTGTGCCATAGTTCAAAATCAATGTTCATAAACAATTCTTAATTCAAATCATGATTCTTTGACAATGGAAATTTATTCCGGAGAATCGAATGGAAAATAATGATTCATGTGGTTAATCCACTCATTTTGAGTTCTCAAATGAGGTTAGGTCAATCCCACATTGAGTTTCGGGGTCAAAACAGGGTTTTAGGACTGTTTAGGGTCAGTTTCAGTAGGAACCGGTCGACCGGTGACAGAGGAGTGTAACTCCACCGGTCGGCCGGTGGAGAGGTGACCGGTCGACCGGATCGGTCGACCGGTGGAAGGGTGACCGGTCGACTGGACCGGTCAACCGGTGGGGAAAAATCCCAGGGCCAGCCATGGCCGATTCGCGAGGAACAAAGCCAAAACCTGCAAACGTTGGGTCCGATTTGGACATATTCTCAAGGGAAATGCATAGATCCAGTTTCAAATCAACAAATGGGGTCCAAAGAATCAAAAACCCCCAATTTTCATCAAGGTTTCACCAAATCCCATTCGGATTCCACTCGAAAACAAAAATGTAAACCAAAAATCACCAAACTCGACTAAAACGAGTTCCACAAAGCTAAATCTGAAAATCTAAAGTAAGTTTCAAAGAGTTTTACCTCGATCCAAGCTTTGATGTTGAAAACCTCTTGGAAATCTCCGTTTTTGGTTTAAATTCAGCCCTTGAGAAAGAAAACTTTGAGAGAGAGAGGGAGAGATGAACGGGAGAGGGAGGGAGAGAGAGAGAGAGAGAGAGAGAGAGAGAGAGAGAGAGAGAGAGAGAGAGAGAGAGAGAGAGAGAGAGAGAGAGAGAGAGAGAGAGAGAGAGAGAGAGAGAGAGAGAGAGAGAGAGAGAGAGAGAGAGAGAGAGAGAGAGAGAGAGAGAGAGAGAGAGAGAGAGAGAGAGAGAGAGAGAGAGAGAGAGAGAGAGAGAGAGAGAGAGAGAGAGAGAGATAGAGAGAGAGAGAGATAGAGAGAGAGAGAGTGAAGGAGAGAGCTCGGGAGATTGAGAGAGGGAGAGAGAGAGTAACGTGAGGAGGGAAAAGAGAAAAGAAATAAGGAAAGAGGAAAAGGAGAAATAGAAGGAAAAGAAAATTGGGAAAAATATTAAGGAAAAATAAATAAAATAAATAGAGGTGAAATTGCAAATACTAAAAATAAATTTAAAAGCTCATGATTAATTAAGAAAATAAATTTAGGCACACTAATAAACCATAATTATCATAATTAAACAAGTTTAATTCTGGAGGGTGTTACAACTACTCCATTCAAGCTTCTTAGAAGTGATGTCTTTGAGACTTGAGGGTGAAATCACGGAGAGTTGGGCTGTTAAGAGGCGTGGCTGAGAGGTAGTGATTAAGTAGGGTTTTTCTAGCTTAGAGGAGTGAGAGTGAGAGAGAAAAATGAGTGAGGGAGGTAGAGCTTTTTAGTGGCATCTTATTCTTTATATATGGGGGGCTTTGGAGAGGTAAATTTGAGACTTGCTTTGTCTCCAAATGGGCTGGAAAATCAGACCACAAACAAGGAAGGGACGTGGGGGAAGAGAGAAAAGGAAGAGAGGGAGAGTGGGAGAGTAGAGAGAGAAAGGGTTTGTAGAATTTGATTGGTTCTTTGACCAAGTTTGACTCTTTAAGCATGATGGGTTACTATCACCTAGTACTTTGCATGGTACACAATTATGAGACACTTCCTAATTTAGCCATGCAAATTCTTCAAACAAGTTGGATGCATGCAAGCCTTCTCAAAGCATCTAAATAATTCTCCACCCTTGATCAAACTTAATCAAAATCATCTATAATTTCTACATCGATCTTGTCATCTCCAATATCTACGCCATTGGTCAAGCCTAAATACATTCTACACCATCGATCAACTTTAGACCTAAGCTAGACCCTTGATTCAAAACCTCGTCTATAATGGTCTATTAATTCAAATATCTTCCTAATCATTTGTACTAATTAAATAAAGTTCAACATAATTTCAAGGTACTTCAATATAAATATTTGACTGGAAATGTCATACATCGTAACGTGCTAATCCCCTCTAGGATTTCTCACACTAAGGAACAAATATTGAAAAATTCTACAGAGGTTGACTTCCAATTAAATCATTAAAGAATCTAATGTAACTCATTCATGAGAGTAGACATTATCGTTCGACGAACACATTATCGCCTCATTATATATTTTCATGAAAGTCATGGAAGCAATCGTTGGGTTTAAATATTCATGAAATAACTTTCACAATTATCAAACAATGTTTACATAACAGGAATTCTTCAATTAACGTCTAAATTTATGTTAAGTTATATGTCTTAAAATTGTCATTTATTATGCTTTCTTCATTGGACTCTTGATTTAGATCCTTGATCATCAAGACATTCTAAATCGTCAAAATTCATGTTAATTCATAATTTCAAGCAGAACTTGATCCCAGTTAATCATAATGATGATTATGCTCAATACATGTACCATCTCATTGGCCTACCACGTGAGATCTCGTTGATATGGAAGTTTACATTCCATTATAAAGGTAATAAATATACGTTGTCACAAGAAAAATCATAAGTTAAATTTTACAATTGAAAATTTTCTACTTTAGGATTTTCTCGGGCTTTACAGTAAATGGGTAAAGTGAGTGGGATAATACACTACTTTAATGACGAGTCGTAACAAGGAGATGGTGAGTCGTAAGAGAGATATGAGACTGCAATTATTTATTTCGAGGGTAAAAATGTAAAGTTACATTATCAATTATTAAAAACTAATTTCTTTCATTGTAATTGAAATGAAGAGTAGCGTAATACTCTAAGGACGAGTCGTAACAGAGTGATAGTAAGTCATAACGGAGTTATAGTGAGTCGTAACGGAGATATGAGATTTCAGTTCGGAATTAGATGTCATTTTTAAGCAGCAGAACTTCATGTTGTTTGATGGTGTGTGTTATTGTTGTGAAGGTGTTACATGTTTCATGCAATTTCACTTGTTTGTAGCACCTGTCATGCACATCCCATGCAATTAAATAGGAAGAGGATCAGAAAGATAATAAAAATTGTAAAGGTCAGTGTGGCTTGAATGTTGAAGTGCTGTTTTTTTTTTCTTAGTATTGAAATTGTGGATGTGTGATTAGGAAATAGATCATAAGAATATTGATGATATGCAATCAGAGAATTATTTTTGGAGAAAGAAGATTAACATGATGAGATAAAGTCAAACCGTCAAGGAGAATAGAAGTTTGCTATTCCAATAGTCTTATATTAGATGGAATATAGAAGTTTGCTATTCCAATAGTCTTATATTAGATGGAATATCAAATGAGAGAAGTTTTACATAGCTTGAACAAGGAGTATTTAAAAAAAAAAAAAAAAAAAAGCACTAGAGCTATTTTAATTTGTATTCCATGTTCATTGTCTGGTAATGTTAAGGGTGACAATTCGTGTTAGTGGGTCATGTTCTTTTCAACCCGTTTATTAATCGTGTTAATCGTGTCAATCCGTATAACCCGTTTAAATTAATATATTGAATAAATAACTAATATAATAATGATTTATTTAACACGGTCAAGACAAATTTAACATGCTTATTGGTCAATTTATATTTTGCTTTAAGAAAAATAAATAAATTTTACTTATAAATATTAAAATTCACATTATTTGTATTTAATATGCTATTAAACTTTCATGTTATATCACATATCATTAGATTGTAGATGATACATATAGTTAATCGTGTTAATTCGTGTCAACCCGATTATAATCCGAACTCATTTATAATAAACTCAAACCCACTAATTTCGTGTGAGTTTCGAGTCGTGTCGTCTGTCGCTATTCGGATTGCCAGCCATACGTACTGCATGGTGGCGGCATAATAGTATTGGGTTGGTGAAGAGCATACGGTGCCATTGAGTAGTTTTATACTTGCATGTAGCTTTATTATGTCCGAGGCCATTGCAACTACGACATCGTATTTTTGTTCCGCTCTCTATTGGAATCATCTTCATGGTTTAATCAAACCGTCGAAGATGAAATTCCTCCCTTTCTTCCTATAGTTTCGGAAGATGAAATGGAGAGAGAACGTTTTCACGTGCTGATCCACTCTTGTCCCTTTTTTTTCCCCTCTTGAGAAACACCACTCTCTTCATCCGGTAGCCCTTCACATAAAATATTAAATGCCCTTCTCTACCCTTCATCCTTTCAACCGTTGGATCATTTAACAATTAAAAGTTACTCATCCGACGGTCTTGATTTATTCAAACATACAATACGGATATGATTACTTTGTTAAATTTTTGAAATTTTTCGTCAATTTTAACATCAATAATTAAAACTGAAAAAATAAAGTAATCTTCCGGAAAAAAAATAAACAAATTGTCACAATGACCAATTAATAAAATTTTAATTTTATTGTCTTTTCTTTTATAGATTAGTTCTATTATGATTAGCCCCATAAACAGCAACATGGGTTCCCTTCAGGGGCCCCAATTCTGTAACTTCCACAAATCAACGACCTGGTCCCTTGAGCCAGCTTTAACATTGTTCCTAATGGGCTGGCATTCACAATATTTGGGGCCCGCAAATATTCCAGCGTAATTATTGAAATAAATTAGTAAATATATGATCGGCAAATATATATTAGTGATGCAGCTTAAAGTAACGTTACACATCATAACTTTTGTATTATGAGTAATGCTAGCAACAACTAAAGAACAAAATTATCATTTTAATTGGGAAATACAATCTCCACTGTTCCCTTTTTGTTTTACTGGCTTTTTTTAGTTGTTTTTTTTCCATTCGAAACGGGACATTATTTTCATTCTTACACATTACGTAAAATCATTGTATATTATCTTCCAATCCATCACTCATAAAGAACACAAGAAAAAGAAAAACATTCTTCCAACCAGAAAAAAAAAAAAAAAAAAAAAAAAAAAAAAAAAAAAAAAAAAAAAAAGAAACCATTCTTTCATATGTTGAGCTATGGGTCCATATTGATTGCGTGGGAGAAAATGTGCACTACTAGATTTTAATTTTTAACCCTTTCATCCTCTTTCACTTTATAAACAAACTTTTTATTAATTGGCTCTTTCCAAGTACACATGTCCCTTTCAAACCACATCCAATTTTTTTTCTTTCTGTTATCATATTCAAAGGCAAATCTCTTGTCTTGTGCTATCTGATTTCTTCTTCTGTATGTGTGCTTGGGATGAAGTTGCGTTACAACTTGGGTTTTATCGTCTAGTTAGAGCAAACTTTTGACCGCAATAACAAGAAATTGACTAATATATATGAATTTCCAGCAAAAAGAAAAAAAAGAAAAAAATAACACTAAGGGGATGTTTGGTTTGAGGATTCAAATCATGATTTGAATCATGGTTCATGATTTGCTATAATATTTTCTTTCATAAAAAATACACGTAAATAAAAAATGATTCTAATCACATTATTCTAATTTATGAACCAAACGTCTCCTAATATAAAAGAAATGACTCAACCATTTTTTTATATTGTTTATGTTGTGATTGATTATTTTATTCAAAATATCCAAGTTTTTGCTGTCTTTTGAGTAATATTTTTCTTGTCTTAAGGGTATATTCTCTCAGTAATGCAAAGTCAATCGAGTCTTATTAACCAGTAAAATGTTGTATAGGAAGATCAAACAGCCCTTAAAGAAGAATATAACTCATCAATCCCTTTAAGAAAGCTCTCACCAAAAAACTGAAAGAAAGGGCTTTAAGAAAGCTCTGCCTTTAAGCGTCGCTCTGCCCCTAAATTATGATTTTTTTTCCTTTTGCAAAAATTATATATATATATATATATTTATTGTAGAAGGTGAAATCTATCTTTGCTACATGTAGTGAGAAATGAGATACGAAATCTAATATTTATAGGGATAGAAACTGAAAGGATAATTCTGATTTTGAGAATTAGAACTCAAGATCCTTATTTTTTTTTTAAAAGAAATGAGTATTACCTACTCACGAAACAATTTATGGTTTAAGGAATAAAAAGTAATAAGCTTTTATCCATATTTTACTCTACGATGGTGACGAGTTCTAATTCCAACTTAAAAAAAATAAAGTTTTCAATTGTTAGAAATAATTAACTCAACACATCTTCTAGCCATGTGGATCCCTCTTCTACCCATGCAAATATGTCACATGAATCGATACATATATGCGTACATATGTACTAACCAAATTAAGAATATATTTTTATGGTATGTTTTCATTTTTTTTTTTTTAAGGAGTAATGGTTAAAAATTTTCATGAGGCTAACAGTCTCCTTTTTTTCTTTAGAGAGATGAATCTTTCTTTTTTTGCACCTATTTTAAGTCACAGCTCCTTTATTTCCATAACTAAAAAAAAATTAAAAAAAAAAAGAATAACAAAATCTTCTAACGCCAGAAGCGCAAACCAGTCTTTCCAACTCACTTAAATCAAAGTTATCAACTTCACAATTCCAAAATTACCCCTCAGAGAAACCAAAACAACCTGGGGGAAAAAGACAACCATCAACGACCTACAACCTATGATTTAGAAGAACCAACTGTACAGCCATTGGTGGCATTGTCTAAAGATTCGAATCTTCCCCTCCGAACATTCCAAAAAAAAATGCGGATCTGAAATCCTTAACTCCCAAAAGCCTTCCATAAATTACTTCACTACCCCAAAATTCCAAGGCATAATTCTAGCATCCAAAAACACCCTTATAGGATCTCCACGTTCTTCTCTTTCCCAACTTGGAAAAAACAACAATTAAAAAAAAAAAAAAAAAAAAAAAAAAATAAAAAAAAAAAAAAAAAAAAAAAAAAACTTGGACATAACAGCAAATCACAAACAAAAATATTAACACAACATAAATTACTTCACTACCCCAAAATTCCAAAGCATAATTCCAGCATCCAAAAACACCCTTATAGGATCTCCACGTTCTTCTCTTTGCCAACTTGGACATAACAGCAAATCACAAACAAAAATATTAACATAAACATACCACACAACGCAATATTTCTCTTCCCCCCTATTATTGCCCCAACAAGCCACAACCTCGTTTCTCTCCCCCTCTCTTTTTCCCCGTTTTTTTCTTGCCGGAAAATCTATTTTCCGGCGGGAGAAACGAAATCCGACTGCTGAATTTACCCGGGAATTCTCCGAACACCACAAATTCTGTTTTGATCTTTGCAGTTGTGCGCACACCAAACACTACAACTCATAAATTTTCCCTCAGTTCCTACAAAAGCAAGAAAACAACCTCCTCTGTTTTCCCCTGTTTTTTCTCTGCAGGGAAAATCCCATTTCCCAGTGGCAGGAAACAAATCCCGACCGTTGGATCCGTCAAATTTTTCTGATATTATAAGGATATGGCGATGTCCGTGGTGTCACCGAGGAAATCGATATTCCAGAGGGTTGGTCTGGGTGGATATTCGTCTTCTCATCACCTCCTTGGGAGTAAGAGTCAGAGCAAGAAATGTGGAAATGAGGAGGAATATGATTATGATGAAGACGGGACAATGGAATTGGTGCAGATTGGAGCTGAAAGAACAAAAAATGTTCTGATTCTTATGAGTGACACTGGAGGTGGTCATAGAGCCTCCGCAGAGGCCATTAGAGATGCTTTTAAGATGGAGTTCGGTGATGAATACAGGGTAGGAAACTATTGTTGTGATCTTTTTTCTTTTTTCTGGTTTTTGGTCCTCTATTTACGCTGTTGTTGTTGTTTTTTTTTTTTTTTTTTTTTTTTTTTTTTTTTTTTTTAATTTTTTTGGTATAATTCTCCCGTTCGAATCTCTTTTTCTTAGGAAAAAGTTCATCTTTCGTCTTTTGTTGCCAAGTTTTTGTTCTTAGATCCACAAGCGAATTTGTTTCAAAAGCGTTGTTTCCTGTTGCATGTTTTCAGAAATTCTGGTTTCCTTTCTTTGACTTAATATTTTGTATTTTTTATCAATTTCCTTTGCGTATTCATTATTTCTTTCTGATTTCCCCCTATCATTACGTTTTATTTTTCTTGTTGGATGTACATAGGCTCTCTCTCCCTCTATCAAATTCTTTATCTTCTCTTTTATTTTTTTATTATTTTTAATTACTTGAAGTGCTTTAGCAGTTACATCGTTCTTCCTTGCATTACATACCATGAACTCACTGATTTCCAAATATATATATATATATATATATATATATATATATATATATATATTTTCAAAGCTCACGCGATTTTCATTTTTTTTTCTCAATGGATTTTTTCTTTAAACAAAAAAAAAAAAGAAAAAATGCATTTCCTATTTTACTCTTCTGGATTGATTTCTCCTCAAATACAAGGCCTTGGAATGGAAGTGCACTTTGTGTGTAAATTCATGAAATCATTCAAGAGTTTCACAATCTCCATTCTCCAATCAAGAAGCTTCTTACTTTGACATCTTTCTCATGTGACTTCTGTTTCTTTTTTTTTTATTTTTGGCAGATATTTGTTAAAGATGTGTGGAAAGAGTACACGGGTTGGCCATTAAACGACATGGAGAGGTCGTACAAGTTCATGGTGAAACATGTGCAGCTGTGGAAGGTTGCTTTTCACAGCACTTCACCTCGTTGGATACACTCTTGCTATCTTGCTGCCATTGCTGCCTATTACGCCAAGTAACATTTTTACCCAATTCCACTCTTTTTTTGTTTCTAGTCAAAAAACGACATCAAAATAATAGGTGCATTTAGAACTCGTTCTAAAATAATTTTATTTTTTGTATAAAAATGAAAATGAAAACGTTTGATAGTTTTATCAAGAGATTATTTTCAGTATAAAAAAATTCACATGTCTCTCTCTGCTCAAGAGAGGAGAAAATGAAAATAAAAAATGAAAAACGACTAAAAGTCGTTTTTCATTTCTCTCATATTTTACACTAAACTAAAAAATCATTTTAATTTCTATTTTTTATCTTTAATTATGCCAAATGCCATTTTAAAATCGTTTTTATTTTTTCTTTTTTGAAAAATGTGAAAAACAAAAATAAGAACAATTCTAAACGGGGCAAATATTTTGCTCATTGGCTTGAAGTAGGTTGTAGGTTGTAGCTTTGTAGTTTTGTTGTTTTTTGTTTTTTTCTTGTTTTTTTATTTTTATTTTTATTTTTTATCACAAGTAGGTTGTAGTTTTCGAGCAAGACTACTATACATTTCATTTTTTTTATATGCATGTATAGACGTTGATTTTTAATTTCTTTTTATTTTTATCACGTGAAGGCTGGCAATTTTTTTTTTTTTTTTTCCACTTAGTGGTTCCATTACACTTTGGTTACTGTATTCACAAGGAGTAAGCAATCACGGAAAAGAAGGCTCTAATCCAATAATTTTAAAAATTGAAGTGCTATTTGATGCAGACGTGATCTTGATATGATTTAACCATCAAAATTATACACTATTAGAAGATGTCATCTACTATTAAAACCATGATACTGCGGTTATATTCATTGATATCTCCGTTTGGCAACCAAAATGTGATAGAAGTTCTGTAAACAATCTTATTCTACTTAAAAATTTAATGTTGTAAAGAATCTTTTGACTATTTTATATGTTCAATAAAGTTTAACACCTTTCTTCTTTTTCTTTATAATGATTCTTTGTCCTCCACTTGCTATTCACTCATATGTTAAGAGCTGGAAATCATTTTTATAACTTCACCAAAGTTTTGAGATTCTGTTGAGAGTTTGGAATTTAACATGGGAAATTAGTCATTGGCTAGCTGGAGAGCATGATTCGAATTCTTAGTTTGATGGGATTTGCTGAGTTGTATTGTGTTATGTGATTGAAGGGAAGTGGAGGCAGGTTTAATGGAGTATAAGCCAGATATTATCATCAGTGTGCATCCATTGATGCAGCATATTCCATTGTGGGTTCTCAAATGGCAAGGCCTTCAGAAGAAAGTTATTTTTGTGACAGTTATCACAGACCTCAATAGTTGCCATCCTACATGGTAAAACTTTAAGCCAATCAGTAGTTTTTTTTTTTTTTTTTCCCTAAGAGATTGGACTTTTAAGGTCTTGGCATTTCATTGTAAACAGTCAAACTTGTTAAGTCGAGTGGCCCAATATCTTTATGAGTCTATAATAATATTTATGTTTAAACGATATGCTCAGGTTTATATTTACCTTTACAGTTATAGGTTTCTTGTTTACCCCTTTTGGAACTAATCATCCAATCTCCTAACTTTATTCAAATTACATCCAGGTTTCATCCTGGGGTAAATAGGTGCTACTGCCCATCACCAGAGGTGGCCAAGAGGGCTTTACTAGATGGTCTCGATGAGTCTCAGACTCGCGTTTTCGGTTTGCCAATTAGGCCATCTTTTGCCCGAGCAGTTCTTTCAAAGGTCGGTTAGTGTTTGAGATTTTAGTTTTTGTGCATTGTTTAGGATTATGGAATACTAACACAAGTTCTGCCTGGTTGTTGCGTATTTTATGGTTCTTATAGGAGCAATTAAGGGAAGAACTTGAAATGGACCCCGATTTGCCTGCGGTTTTGCTAATGGGAGGCGGTGAAGGAATGGGACCTGTCAAGAAAACTGCAAAGGCTCTTGGAGAATCACTCTTTTGCAAAGAACTAGGGAAGCCAATTGGACAACTAATTATCATTTGTGGCAGAAATAAAACTCTTGCCTCCTCACTTGAATCTGAGGAGTGGAATATTCCAGTGAAGGTGATTCCCCTATCTACATTTTGCCACTCTATTTAGACATTCACTTCAACATTCTTAATGTGAAACATTTCTTTTTCTTCGTTTTAGGTTCGCGGATTCGAGAACCAAATGCAGAAATGGATGGGAGCTTGTGACTGCATAATAACAAAGGTAAGTTGGCAATTTTTGAATGAACATTCTTTTCAATGTATGATGAATAATGTCTCATAAATTCTTGTGTAATGGAATTTTCTTGGTTCTATTTTTCGCAGGCTGGACCTGGTACAATTGCAGAGGCACTAATTAGAGGACTTCCTATCATTCTAAATGACTACATTCCAGGACAAGTTAGTACTCATCTTCTAACAAAGCAATTTTCTCATATTTTGATAACTTACACCTGCTATTTTAGCCTTCTTATTGAATTTTTCCAAATTCATATGGCAACCTCAGGAAAAGGGAAATGTTCCATATGTTGTTAACAATGGAGCCGGCGTCTTCACAAGAAGTCCAAAAGAGACAGCAAGAATTGTGTCTGAATGGTTCAGCACCAAAACAGATGAACTCAAGAGAATGTCTGAGAATGCACTTAAACTATCACAACCAGAGGCGGTTTTCGACATTGTCAGAGACATTCACGAGCTCGCAGAGCAACGAGGCCCTCTAGCGAACATCCCCTACATGTTGACTTCATCATTCACGAGTTTGATTTAGCTCATTCCATAGTGCATGTTTCATTGTTATAGGGAAATTCCCTAAAATAGAATGCCGTGTACAGTTAGCTCAATTATTATCATTCTTTGGCTTATTAGCTTGTTTTTTTAAAGTATGCTAAACAAGCTGTGGTGTTTGTAAGGATTGTTGTTTCTTTTTTTTCCCCCATTTAGGTTAGTTTTGACCCCAAAAAAAAAAAGGATAGGATAGGAGAATGATGATTGTGTTGTAACTTATGCAGTTTCTCACTCTACCATATTTTCCTATATGATTTTGGTTTACTGCTTGCTCAAAATAATTGTCACTTTCACACTCTTAACTTACCAAAATCTACGCATATCATCTAATTCAAAAGGAAGGTGCAGAGTGCAAGAGGTTTTTTTTTTTTTTTGGCTTGTCTTTGAATGGTCTCAATTTCAAGGTCGCTTTGAAGCTATAGAACACCTGAGTTGACATGCACAATGGGGCTTTAAAGCGCGTCAAAACTGGTATGGTCCAGAAGCAAACTACTCCTACCTTTTCTTTGTCTCCAAATTGTTGAAACCTAACTTTTACCCTTCTTGAAACTAGTGAAAACTTTTACAAGCATTCGAAATAATAAAAATGGATAAGATTTTGGATCACCTTTTGAAGCAATACTATTATGGCATGTTTACCTACGCATAATTGGAATGAGCATGAATCGAAGTGGGCAGGATTCAGAATGGGTAGGATTCAGAGTGAGGAATCGGAGTCATAATAAGTTGTTTACCTAATGATATGATTCGGAATCAGAGTCATTCTAAATCTCATTCATACGTTTACTTACACCCAGAATCAGAATAAAAAAGTGTAAAAGTATTAATATACCCTTTAAATTAATTTGATATTTTCAATTTAAAAAATATATTGTGTACTTATTATATTAAAATTAACAATAATTATGCTAATATTATAATATTAGACAAATAAAATAATAAATATATGTTGCATTTATTATTTTTTGAATTTTATTTTTAATTTTGTATTTATAAGTAAAATAAGGGTATAATAGTAAATTGATATTAATATTAGGAATAAGAGTCTCAATCCCAAGGGGGGGCATGGAAATGCCAATCCCATTCCTCAATCCCAAATTTGAGTGAGACCCACCAATCTCACTCCCATTTCATGATAAAAAAGAGCAAGTAAACATGAGATTAACTCTCATTCCCCACTCTCATTCTTCAATCATGGTAAGTAAACATGCCATTAGAGACCTATCCTACCTAGACCAAAAAAAAATGAAAGCCTCCAAGTGGGGTTCATCTTAAGTTTTTTTACATTTTGTGACCTAAAAATGTGAAACGCATAGGCTATCAAGTAATGAGATGACTTAATTCTACAAAGAGTTTGTGATTTGATCACCACTACTATCTAAGTGTACCTATCACATTTTAATTTTTTTAGCACCTCTGCTGTTTTTGGATTTTTTTTTTTTAATTTGTTGGGAACCACTACCCTCTAAAAAAAACAAAAAAAACAAAAAAAAAAAAACCTTGTTGAGAACAACTACTCCGTAGTTGCTTCCTGTTGAGTGATTGTTGAAACGTTAGTAGAGGACTTTCAGTTGTGGACTTCCACAAGCGTCAAGGAAACTTCAGTCAATTTTGTGAAAAAAGGAACAAGAGGCAATAATAGAGATCATGTCCTCATTTGAGCAGATTACAAAAGATTAGAGACTTGCAGATTAAGTTATCTTGCATAGTTGTAGGTGAAAGTTAAAATAAGCCAACCTGGGGTGGGTTGCTTTATTGGCAGGTTCATTGATAGAAATCAACCACTGTCATGATCAGGCAAACTCGATCTTGTCTTCTTTTCTCAACTTGAATCACAACTTAAAATTTTTTATTCCAGTATTTCTTCTCACAAAAATTTAAATTAAACTTTTTTATTACAGTATTTTTTCTCATATAAAATTCACTTTAAACTCAAGTTTTCACTCAAGTTGTGAAAAAAATATGCAGAAAGCATCCAAAATGGTGTATGTTTTTAAGCCCTTTGGGAGAAATTTATTTCTCATGAAAAAAATGGTAGGAAAAGAAAAAAATAAACTATCGTTAGATCTATATTAGAAACTGTTTGTTTTGCATACTTTTTTAATTTGATATGATTTTGACCTAATCAATAGTCACAAACAGATATTACCTATAGAAGTGACCTACCAGAGAAACTCCTAAAAAAATAACATGTCACTTTACCTTGTTTGTGCTTCACATAATCTACCCTAACCCAGCATTATATATATATATATATATATATACATATACATATATATAATAGGAAGTGATTCAGTTCAAATAGAGGTGTAAGTTTAGGCCACCTAGCCCGGTCTGGGCCCAGCAGTCCAAAGAGATATTTTTAGCCAGCCCAACCCAGCCCTAAAAAAGAGAAGGTCAGTCTAGGCCTATCTGAGCCCAAAAAGTTTAGGGCCAGCCGGCCTAAAATTTTATAAGGTATTTTTAAAAAAACTTTAAAAATATGATGTTTGGACTGGGTTGAGCATAAGTGTATAAAAATGATAATACAATTAGCATTATTATAAGGTTTAATTTCAAAAACTCCCCCTGAATTATACCCCTTGATCTTTGAAACGTAACGTTCGTTCTTCCTGAACAATAAAATATTAACAAAAAAGCCCACTCTGTTACATTTTTTAAAGAGAAATTGATATATAATTTGTTATTTTGGGGTATTTGGTAGGATTATGACTAAAATTTTAGTTTAAATTTAAAACTAATTTAAATTTAAACTTTTAATTATGATAGAGCCATTATTGATTGAACTTAGGTTAAAAACTTTATAATTTTTTTTGGTAGAATAAAAAATTTATGAAGTTTTCTTTGCGCACATAATACTAGGTGGGTTCACAATTCCACAGCCTTTTTAACATCAACGCCCTCCAAAAATCGCCAAGCAAAAAAAAAAAAAAAAAAAAAGTAAGGCAAACCAAAGTGTTAAAGAAAAGCACATAAAAAAAATTAAGTGTATGACAATTTGCGTTGTCAAAAGGGCCATGCCGTGGCGGGCTTGGGCCGTGCCTGGCACGGCCCTGCACAGTGCAGGGCCATGCCAGGGCCTGCACTGTGCAGGGCCGGGTCTGAGGAGAATCCCTCAGGCCCAGCACTGGCCCTCGGCCCTAATCTATAAGGGCCAGGGTCGGGCCCGGACCTTGGCCCTTTTAAATTTTTTTTTCAATATTTATTAAAGAAAATTATATATCCCAAAAGATGTGATTTTATTGAATTGAGATAATACGAATAAATACACATAAATGACTGCCTTATTAAAAACCTTGCTAAGTAAAACCTATGGAGAGATCGGGACAAAACCTTAGTGAAGGAAAAAGAGTGCAGTATTCTAGGATAAGTAAATTACAAAACCTAAGTGCTTCCAAATGATTATGTTGTATCTAAGTTAGAAAAATATTCTTGAATTGCATCATCCGTATATTATTGTTTTTGTCTTCTGGCATCTTCCCAGTCTTTAACGCACATTAGCCCCTCTAAGATATCGGATACATTTTACTTCTTTTCTCGTCAAGAATTCGGTTGCTTGCACTAAATGCTTGCTCCGATGCTACCGTTGACACCAGAGTTGTCAGAATTTCACGGGCTATTACGGACAGTGTTGGAAAGCGATCGGTCTTGCTTGTCCACCACTGTAAGATGTCCAGTTTGTCGTCATTGATTACAAAATTTGATTCAAAATATTTTACCAGTTCGGTAGATGCTTGTGTTGATGACGATCTTGACGTTTTCTCTTTCTTCTTCAAGAAGCTCCACGATGAGCCTTTAGGCCCCGAACTGCTTGTTGACATCTATGTTCCCTATTCTTTTTGACTTGTTCCGTATTTTGCTTCATACAAACTAAATAATTTTGCTAACATTTTCCTAGCATTAGTAATAGTTAGTAGCATATTAATACCTAAATTTTCTGCCGTAGCAGTCATTAAAGATTCGGTCCCATCTACTCCGCATCTTGGATCTAAAATGGTTGCTAATGCATATAACATAAGACAACCGGACCAATAACTTTTAAATTTAGCTTCCATTAGCTTAACTATAGTTCCAAAAAGTTCAGTATTCCTACAAAAAGAAAATATTTTTAAAATATTAAATAGTTGATGCAAAGCTAAATGTGCAGTAGGATAATAAACTCTAGAAAGTAATTTAGTAGCATTGTAGAAAACTTCTAGAAATTTAAAAAAGTACTCACCAATCTTCCAATTAGTATCGAAAATTAAAAGCTGATCGTTCTTTTTGTTCACATACGTTGTGATGAGCTGTTGATACAGAAGTGCAACCTTCAACATTAAATAGGTGGAGTTCCACCTATGTCTCAAGCCATTTGGGAACTTTCTTGGGTGCATCTAGATATTCCTGCAATATTGTCAAAATTCTTGGAGCCAAGCTCTAGAACTAGATATGAAGGATAAAGATTCTCTAATATTTATTAGATTAGAGGAAATATGTTCAATTCCTGCTTGTACTACTAAATTTATTATGTGACACGCACACCATTGATGAAAAATTTCACCACCAAACTAGGGTTTCAAACTATGTTTAAACATGTTAATTGCAGCCGTGTTAGCTGACGTATTATCAAAGGTAATAGTTCAAACTTTATCTTCTATCCCATTAAACCCAAAAATTTCTATTATTGTTCCAGAAATAGCAATTGCGTTATGATGAAATGGATATAAATGAAAACCTATTATTCTCTTTTGTAAAACCCATTCATCGTCAACATAATGCGCTGTGACGCATAAATATCCAGTTTTATTGCACCCCTCCCATATATCAGAAGTACAAGATATAGTAGCATTAAAAGACCTAAAATTATCAACTAGAGATTGTCTCATTGCATAAAATACTTTCATGCAATCAGAACGAGATGTATTTCTACTTACCCATTTAAATTGCGGGTATAAGGCCGTCTATATGAATTCTTCGAATGCCACATCATCTGTAAAAGAAAGAGGTAATTCGGCACTAGCTAAAAATTTAGCTAGTGCCTCACGAGCACGTTGTGCATCGTATGTAAAATTTTACAACCTTTGTGATTTGAGTGATAGTGTTTGTTAGCGGGAGTCCACACTCCCACCTTGGTGCAATGGTAGACATGCTTTTCAATGTCTATCTAGATGACCAATACACCCACCCTTTTTATTAGAAAAATGTTTTTTACAATACTTACATACTGCACGAATTTCCATTTCACCTGTTTTTAGATTTGGTCGGGCATCCTCTGTGAAATGCTGCCATGTAGGAGCAGCTCGCGGTCTTTTTCTCCTACTGTGTTTGCCAACTTTCTCGTTGTGCATTGAAACATTATCAACCAGAGCATTTTTTAGTTCAGTTGGGCTGGGTTTGTGAGCCATTATTTCATCCTCGAAAAATGGCTCATCACCAATCTCAGGGAGAGCAGTGAAATCAGGGAAGTTTGATGCGGTCATTTTTTGGAAATCGATTGAAGTTTGTAAATGAAAGAGTAAGAAAATGAGTAACCGCGAGAGAAAATCTTAGAATCAAAATCAAAGAGACAAGATGAGAGATAGAATGAGAATGAGATGATAAGTTCAGAGTAAATTGTTGTGTGGGATTTAGGGTGGCATTAAGGGGTATTTATAGGTAATTTTTAGGCACATTTTCGGATTATGACCGTTGGGCCCGCGAAGGGTCCAACGGTCACAAGGACCGCGGGCTTAGGCGGGCTTCCTCGTGGGTTGAATCTTGCGTGGGCCGGGCCGAACAAGGGCCGAATCAGGGCTTGGGCCGAACTGGGCTTGGGCTGGGCCGCGGGCTTCAAGGGCTAGGGCCGGACTTGGGCCACGGGCTCAGAAGCCGCGGCCCAGCCCTAGCCCATCAAACGGGCCAGGCCGGCATGGCCCGTAACAGTACCATATCGGGCCGTGCCGAATCTGGTACTGTTAAGGGCTGGGCCGCGCCGTCTATGTACGGCCCGGCCCATTTGACACCTTTAATGGCAAACTTATTCGCCCCATGAAACAATGGACAAAAAGGGTCAATGCGTAAAACTAACTATTGAGTTTTAATTAAACAAACTAAAACCAGATCTTATTCATGATGTCCAATTTGCTATTTTAATCGCAGATATTTGATGCCTATGTGGTACCATTCGGTTAACCAAAGAGGCCCGTCCGGTCCACCGGGCGATGGAGTTTTCTGTCTTTACAGAAACATGTCAAGTTAACCGGACATACACCTCCAGTTAACCGAACCTAGTCTTTCAGGATTTTCCAGACCCGTTTTGTTCTTTTATTTGATTATGAGAATTATGTATGTAACTCTAGTTTTAATTCAAATAACAAAATATAGAAATTACTTGATTAAAACACTTATATATACATACATTCACATATCAAATAAAAATAAAAATATTAATTCGACCAATTTATCTTGAATTAATTTAAACAATTAATTCACCTTATAAATTACTCATGAATTAATTACATCTGTTCTATAACCAATTGCAGAAATAACATAAGTTACCAATATGTCGCAAATACGTTGTATCGTATAAGGAAAATATATGAGCTGACAAAAGGACCCGATGGGCATATATAGATCAAGTTGTTGTAATCACAATAGTATTTGTTCACTTGACAAGTTCATCTCACGGTTATAAGTTCTAGTGCTACTCCACGAAAAGCATAGAACTACACTCTTGCTCTATATAGTATATTCATAAAGCTCCAGTTACCTCTCGTCCATGACTTTATTCTATTTTGTATCATCCACAGAGGATATCCATAATTGACTTGAAATCAAGTTCCGTTTTAATTTCCCGATTTTATTCATCTTATGTTCAATTATCACTCCATTAGAATAACCACTATTCGTACTAATACAAATATTAAACCATTAAATAACACAGAGTAGTCTAATGGTTGAGCGCTCATGTTTTCCAATCCCTTGATAATGTAATAGGAGGATATAACTAACTCTTTTAACAAGAACTATGGATTCCCTATCTATGAAAAATAAATCTAGATATACATATGTCATATCTCTAACATACGGGTATATGTTCCTTCAACAATGTCAGAATTTCACCCCTTAGTACATCAAAAGATACAAAACACATTTACGTATTTATTATTATCTCAGGATAAGATAAATCAAATATAATTAGACAAAAGTGAATTATTTTATTCAAATGGAATTATTAATAAAAACAAATTAATTTTGGTCCGATCTAATATGGAATTTGATTAATGTCTCTATGTAACACCCTGAAGAATTAATTGAGATTAATTAAGGTAATTGAGATTATTAGTGTGCCTAATCTGATTTAATTAATTGAGTTTAAATAATTCCAAGGTATTTAAATTATTCACAGTAATTTATTTAATCCAGAAGTGTGTATAGGCGCATTTCTGGACTGTTATATTTTACACATGTCATTTTCTTTTATTTTTCTTTTATTTTCTTTTATTTTTCTTTCTTTTTCTTTTTCCTTTCCTTTCTTTCCTTTTCTTTTTCTTTCCCATGCGTTTCTCTCTCTCTCTCTCTCTCACTTCCATGCTCTCTCTCTCCCTCTCTCTCTCTCCCATTTGTGTCTCAAATCAAAACCGGATTCGAACCAAGAGTGATTTCAAAGAGTTTTCAACGTCAAGAGAAGGATTCAAGGTAAGATTACTGAAAGAACCTCTCTTGAATCTATGTTTTTCAGATTTCAAAACTTATTTTTAGTTCAAAGCGGATTTTGATGGATTTTGAGTAAAACTAGGGTAGAAATTGGAGATCTTGGGTTCTTTGGACTTGTTTTAGTACCTAGAACCCGGATCTAGTGGTTGTCCTTTGAGATTTTGTGAATTGGGACTGGATTTGCAGGTTTTTGAACTGATTTCCGCGAGTTTTTGCGAACTGGCGTTCTCCACCGGTCGACCGCATCGGTCGACCAGATCTTGCTATGGCCACCGGCCGACCGGTCCGGTCGACCAGATGCACACCACCGGCCGACCGGTGGTGATGCACTTCTCTGTCACCGGTCGAC